ATTCACATCTTATAATTACACTTACTCATTTACATTTAGTTGATTTTAGCTAAAATTTTTATATTTAAAATCAAAATAAGCATTCCTTTTTTTTTTGTTTGCCGCGAAAAAACATACCAATTAGTGAAAAGAATGCCTTCACATTTATTACCTTCCGCTTTATCATTAAATCATGTTTAAACGATTGAAATTTAAAATCCTATTAGAAATTAAAAAGACTATATAAAGTAAGGAAAATTTAAAAAATAATATTTATTAAAAAGGATCATAAAAACTATAATTATTTAGAAGTACTAAATAAGAAATTAATTAAAATATCTAAATTTCACTCAATTGAACAAAATTTTTCTCAAATTTTACTACATTTGTAAATATTTATTGTAAAAAATGTTACGAACATTGCTCAACTATGACAAAATTAGAGTTTTTTTATTTTAAACATAGATCCAAACCTTGATAGAAAATAAAATTATGTAATTTATTAAAACTTGATATTCTTTTATAATTTACAATATATGTCAAAGAAATGTTATATAAGCCTAGAAAATCAAAGGAAATTAAAATTTACCCAATTTGAAACAGGTTAAAGAAAGTTCGTTTTATTTTAGAAGAAATTTATGGAAGTTTGCAAAATAAGAAACTCATGTAATGTTAACAAAATTAAAAAAATATAAATAATCTATATTTATTTTTTGCGAAATTGCCAAACTTGTGATTGGGATTACATCCGTTAAAGAATATTTGTGTGTAACCAAAATGATTTTGGGAAATGACTCTTATAATACACACACAGTATAAAATATAACAAATTGCACCCTTTGGTCATAAATTATAAATTATAAACAATATGGCTAATTTTTCGAAGTAATCCACGTTAATTTGTACATAATTTGAAATGTTATAAATTTTAATATGATATCGAGATCATGTCAATCTATATTGAAATATTAGGATGCTTCAAATTTTAACACTATTTATGTAACATTTTATTTTTATCAGTTGATTTTACTTAAGTATTTCTTATAAAATATGAAATGAGTTTCATTTTTTTTTTACTGAAGAGAACTTAATTAATATTAGTGTTGATAATATAAATAAGGTAAAAAGACTTAATTATAAATGAATAAGTGGATAGACACTGGTATTAATAACTAAATGATATCTTGATGATGTGAATACCAATCCGAGTGGAAAAATATCAGTGACTTGGGTTTATACAGTCGTAGCAATGATGGGTGTTTTTTTTTTTTTAAGTTCGTTTTATTTTTTCAAAAAAATTATGAAGGTGGGAGTTAATTTTGGAGGTTGTGTTGGGGCAATTTTTAATATTTTTGAATTTACATTTTGGCATTTGGTCATTCTAAATAATTATAATTTTTGTGATCTCAACAATAAATATTATTTTCTATTGGTCCTTCTTCAAGAAAACATTTTGATAGAAGTATAGAGCTGTAATTTTTAACAACTGAAATTTATTTATATATTTTTTTGTTATTTAATATTTTTACAATAGTTAAAACTGACACGGCTCTATGTTATTAGTTGGATCACCTGCATGCTTCCTTGCAAAGCACAGACAATTACACAAATGAAATAATCATAAATCACAGTCTTATTATGTAATCTTAAATATAAAATCTAATTTGTGGTTCTCCTCTTAAAATGTTGATAATCTGATCATAAGTCATAATCTAATTTGAAAATAAAAGCGGATTAAGCTTGATTAAAGCGTGGGCGTGGAATTGTGATGCAAATGATATGGAACCACAAAGTTGCATAGATTCCGGTGTGGGAGCTTTTCAAGGCCTCACAATTCTAAAAAATTAAAATCAGGAGTTGTGCTGTTTTTTTTTTTTTTTGCCAACAAGGAGTTGTGCTGTTTACCTTCTTTCTTTTGTCACTCTATGTTCTCCCAACAATTTGTTCTTTTATTTCTTTCTTCAGCTCAGCCCCATCTTAACTACTACTATTATTAAATAATTAAATTTAAAATATAATATGTTCCAATTAATAATTAATAAGTGGATTAATATAAAATTATGGATTCCCTTCCTCACGTGATGTGCCCTCAAAATAAGCGATCTTGTTCTTCTTTTTCCCAAACTATTCCAACCAGTCCACTATTATCTCCATCACTACTCATCCGTGTATATTTTTTATGGCATCTATTATACATATTAAACTAGATTGTGTTTCCCCGTGCGATGCACGGGGAGCATACAATTTACAATTTCATGCAATTGAAATGTATTCGACAATAAAACATCACAATAAATAAGACCTACTATGGATTCCGTATTTTATAAGTTTATAAAGTTACATACCTTTTCATAAGTTACATATATTTTAAACTCACATTTCAACATATTGAGAGGTCATCGATGCTGCAGCCGGTACTGTCTTGTTAGAAAGGAGCTTTGGATAGTGATGGGTGATTTGAAAAAGGAAAATTTTAGGTCAAGTCTCTTATTTTTATTATGTCAAGTTCTCTAAGAAAACAAAGTTGTGTAATTATTTTTGTTTCATTTGAATTTATAATTAAATGCTATTAAATGTTAATATCTCAAAAATAAGATACCTGATCATATATGATTAATAACTTGATATAACATATAAGTAATTTAATATAAGTATTGTCCATTTAAAAATATATACAAATATAGTTGAGCTAAAATCTTTTATGCTGTTATATAAATAAATATAATGCTGATTGAATTAATGCGCATGCACTGTGTTCTGTTATGGACATATGCCACCACATTTAGTCTTGCATTTCTTTTCAAAATGTATTTGATTGACATTGAGCCACGCAAGTCCTCTAAAAATCTATTAGGCTTAGTTGCATTATTAACAGGATCATGTATATGTTCATTGGAAAGTTGGACAATTGGATAAGAATTAGGATTCATTTTGTTACATATGAAAGCAAGAAAGGAGGAGAATATTAATTTAATTTTATACTGTAATTTTTTTATTGACAATATGTCATTAATTCAGAATTATAATCTACATTCAATTAACTGATTATTAATTTTTTTTCGTGTCCATCCTCCCGCCTCAAATCCAAATGCACAACGGTAAAAGTAAAATGGGGTTGTTATTCATACTAACCACTAAATTGTTATTCTTCATGTGACATTTATATTCCAAATTAGCTTTCTGTTACAGAACTTCTGCAAAGTAAGGACATATCCATCTTTCATATTATGTTACACATGGACCCACGGTTTCCTCCTAAATGTTGCATCTCCAAACTGCACACAGCACATGACTTTATCCTTCGTGTTTTGTCTGCAGAGTCAAACTTATATCTCCAAGACGGTTAGGCAAGAATATATAAAACAAAATCGGCAACAAAGTCACATATCACCAAATGACTAACCCAGAAATATTTTGCATGAGTCCTTCAAAATATCTTGGAAAGGAAAGCTTCTAACCAAATATATATTTTTTTTATGCGGCCTCTGCATCATCAATAGAGAAATTATCAAAATGCATCTTCTCTAAGAGAAGATGATGGACAAACAACGTTGGAAAAAGGAGGGTTCAGAAATGCCTACAAACACAAGAAACATCTTTTGAAATCATGGCTACTCAAACCTATGGAAGATATAGCATAGCTTTTCTGGGCAACCTGTATATATCAATTACGAGTCCTTCACCACCAACTCGATACACAAGAAAAAAGCTGCAGATGATATATGCATGACAGAAGCTTAGATAGGCATTGGAAGAGGGGGGGAACCGGAATCATGTCCATGCTGCAAGCAAGATTTTAAAATTTAAATCACAAGTAAATACTTCAGATTTTATAATATCATGAATGTCTGTACCTCCACCATATAGAATAAAGTGCATATTTAGTTTTACACTTAAAACTATCAAACTATAATTATGATCATTTTTAACATCGAACCAAATATATCATGAAACTATTACTCCACATATCAAGCTATCCTTTACAACTTTAGCTGACTGAATTTGTACTGAAGAGTAGAGTTAATTGAATGTTTTTAAACTTGTCAAGCTTTGATAATAATGAAAATCTGATCACTGAGATAAGTAAACAACTAATTAACTTTTTAACTTTTCAAAAATTAATCATTAAAATAACAATCATACATACCTAACCCAAGCATATATCTGCTACCCACCATCATTTCAAATGGACATAAGCAAGAGATCATATTCAAAAAATTATTCATGTTTCCTGGGGATAAACAGTAGTAAACTAAAATATAAGGAAATGAACTGAGAATACACCGATAAATAAACATTCAAATGCCAAAAAGAATAAGTGCTTCACTTCCTTTTTGTTAGGAGAAAGCATAGGCTACACAGCCAGGACAATGCATAAAAGTGAAAAAAGATTCGATAATCAATCACAAATGCTCAAGAGTCAATTTCAACTTTATTCTCCATATTTCTCCAATGACCTTTTTAGGAGAGGGATCATCTGGCGCCTTGTCTTGCTGTCCGAAAGTGAAGTATAGTCATCCATTCCAAAATCCAACTAAAGTGCTTTTCACACGGTAAGTTAACTTCCCAATCACTGACTGCGTCTGCAAAACTGACAAAACAATGCAATTAAACAAAAACTAACAACAGAGTATGATGCTCTCTAACTTGCAATTAGAGTCTGTGGTTTCTATCTCTCCCCGCAGAATATAAACTCAAAAAAAGTACAGGTGTCCTAAAACTATATTTAAACAAAACAGGGACTGTAATAAGTACATCCTAGTTTATTTAAACAAAAGTTGACAACGGAGCATGTTGGTCTCCCCCTTGCAAGCTAGATCCTAGTGCCAGATGAAGATACCCAAAAAATACTAAAATGAGCACTAAACAGATGAAGGAATATATACATTCGTAACAAAATATTAACACATACGCAGACACTAAATATATTTCCAAAGTGCTCTATAAGAGAGCAGTCAATACCAGAGTATTCAAGTTAAACTGCATTGCTTCTCCTTTTCAAACAATCTTTTTGGTCTGTTGTGCCTCCAACAATAACTATAGGATTGTTCACAAGCACCCAAGCAAATTCAATGTGTGAGTTCTATTTTGGCATGGGAGGCATCACTTTCCACTTTGTCTCATCATCCAGCATGTAAAAATCAGTATTCACCGCCTAAGCTAGCAGTATAAAATGAATCAGTGAGCCAAACTTTGGGAATGGATGGAAATGTGGTTAATTGCAATTTATAATGGTTAAACATTACAAGGAGGTCAATCATGTATAGTATCCATTCTCTCTGGAGAAGAGAAAAAACAAACCAATGCATGCACTGGGTTTACCAATTATCACCATAAGATCAAATGGGGAGGAAAAAACAGAGGGTTTTGCCCACAGCTTACCTCTAGTATGCATGAACACTTGAAGATAGGTGGGCCAAGTTTGGCCATAAAATCACCTTCCTGACCACCAATAACATAAATTCCAATCATAAACCATGACACAAGCCCTAAAAGAAGAGAAGAGAGCAGACTTACATTTAAACATAAATAATTTCCTGAGAAGATTTGTCAAAAGGTAACTGCCTTTTATCAATTCTCACATCCACAATTAAACTGCATACAAGTTTACATTAGAACCCAAAAACCCGTAAAATGGTTAAAGACTTTGCAATCATTTTTTAAAAAATTTCTCCAAAATCTTGAAAATAAAAGGAAATAAACACTTTTTCATACATACCAAGTATTATTGCATGATATCAGCGTATTATTGATGGAAAGTAATAGCAAGTTTAACAATGACATCTTATATTATGAAAATGTGGTCAAAGCATTGAGTTTCTTACCTGAAGTGCAGTAGAAAAACAAACTCAAAACTACATAAAATGAAAAGGAAAGAAATTGTACATACTAAAATACATTTTGGAAGAAAGCATTTACCTCCACAACTTCAACTCCATAAAAGAGATCAAAGGTTTCTATTAAAACCCCATGGAAATAGACAAATTACTGTTAAATGATACTAATACATTCCCTATAAGTCATACTAAGTTTTCCAGAACACCCTCACCATGCTAAAATCATACGGACAAACCAACCCAACGAAATTAATATATGGAGCCATCAAGAATGAGCTTTAGAATCAATGGGAATAATTTCTAATACCAAACATAGATATGTATCTTCAACAAAATCGAAGTCATAGAAATGTGAAGAATCAAACATTATGAATACCCTCATCCTTGAGCAAAGTATCTTAGTTGAGCAATGGACTCTTCCCCCATTGTTCTTCCCTTACACAAACCAACACATTCAGACTTTACTCTTGAGTCTTATTCACCGAATCACCGCCAACATTTTACTCGGCTAGAAGAGAGAGAAACAAATGAAAAATATTGCAACCATAGATCTAAGCCGGCTTACCGATTGAAGAGCTTTAATAGCCTCCTGTTAAAAATAGAAAATCCCCCTGTGATGACTGTTCATAAACACAGTGAGATCTGCCCACAGTCTGTCCAATTAAAATTTTGAGAAAAACGAAAAGAATTAGATCTTGAGAATCATCATGAGAAAGAGGGTTGGAAGGTAAAAATGATAACCTTGACAAACATAAACAAATCTGTCTCAAACTCCCCACGGCTACTGGCTTCTCATAAAGACAATGGAAAAGGAACCAATGGCTATCCGTCTCTGCTCTTTCGACGGTAGTTCTCCCTCTCTTCTCTCCCTTCCCATTGCTGTGACCTGCAAGAAACCATGAAATCATTGATTAGAAGTGGAAGAAGGTAAAGGAGACCGTGAAGAAGAAGTAAAAACTAATGAAGAGAGAGTAGAGAAGAAGAGAAATTGATGACGGAAGGCTGGTTGAGGCGTGATGTAGGGGAGGAAATATGAACATTGAAACTTAGAATGAGAGATATGAGGCTGCAGATCAGCGATTCAAAGTTGAAAATACTCCATGAGGCACGTAGCATAATACATTCTTTTCATCTCACCTGGCGGAAGAGGAAGGACCCTGTGAAGAAAGAAGATAAAGGAATCAATGAAGAATAGGTGGTGGAAGAAGAAATTTTTGGAGGGAAAGCTGAGAGAAGAGATAACGGAGAGGGTTTGAGTAGAATATTGAAACCCAGATGAGTCGAGATTCATACTCAAATTTGAACCCAAGAAAAGAACAATGTATAAGGCGGGACTTGAATAGTATTTGAATTTTAAACTTTTGATCTGCTTACATGATATGTACTTTCCTTAGTCAGATACATGAACAACAAAAAGCCAACTTAAACGCAGCCCGAGATAACAATCAAGAGGCTTGTGAACAGTATTTTGTGAGGAGAGCCATCAATAAGCCATATAAGCTGCTAACTTTGGTGGAAGAGTATTTATATATATATTGATTCCTACTCATGCTCATCTTTATTATATTATCACGAAATTTGAAAATTTTTTAGACCATATAAAGTATAATTAGATAGTAATTATTGGGTTGAATGAAAAGAACTTGACTCTCTTTGAATAAGATTGGTGATTTGAACTTGTGAATGATAAGAATAAAATCAAGCAGAGTGCCACCTCTGATAAGCCAGATAATACTTGTTTCTGATTTGATAATACCGAATAACAAATGAATGTGTATTAATAAAATTTAATATTAATGACACGTATGAGACAAACTTTTAATTAATTACATATTCAGAACTGATATATAATATCTTGTTGATGTAGAGTTTCAAATACAATTTCAATTTCTTACTGTTTGACTTTGTTTACTTTTTTTTTTAAAATCATAACTCAGACACTCGGCAAACTCTTTACAGTGAATCTGAACTTACAACTCTACGCTTAGAAAAACCTAAAGAATGATTTTTAATTAAGTTATATCCTAACGTATTAACTCGTCAATTAACAAGATGATGTGACAAGATGAAGTCTCATAAAAAGGGACAGAGGAAGACCAAGAAAAACGCTTAATGAAATCATTGAACGAGACCTTCTAGTCAATAATATATCTAAGGATTGGGTTGTTGACAGAATACGATGGCGTCATGTGATTTATATAGCCGACCCCACCTAGTGGGATAAGGCTTGTTATTGTTGTTGTTCATCTCTTTTTTGGATATCTTTTTCTTTATCAAACTTTAATTGTTCATCTTTGGATGATCATGGAATGTGGATTAATATGTAATTAAATCTGTCTTTTGAAAATGTTACTTGAGGCCACGTGATTGTCTCCCTCTTTTGGATATCATCACAATATCTTTAACAAAATCTCAATCACCTTGATCTTAATTAATTAGTTGTCAGATAAAAGCCGAAAGTAGCATCTACCATTAATTAGTTTTTTAATTGAACGAGTCTCTTGAAAAGGAGACACAAACTAATCAACTCCCTACATCTCTGTTCAAATTATCAAATAAAATAAATGAATTAACATGCTATTATTATTAATGCCTGTAACTCAACTGTTACATAATAATTTCATATACAGGTTTTTTTTTTTTTTGCCTTTTTACTACTTCATGATTTAATAATGAAATAGGTATATTATATCATAATAAAATTTGATGGGTTGGTTCTATATTTGAAAAAAAATTCATAATATAAAAGTACTTATAAATTACTGAAAAAAAGTCCTCATACTTGCAGCAATCATGTATACTTCCGAGATCAAAATATAAGACAGAATTCCTCTCTTATGTTTATTTACTACAGCATAAAATCAGTTAAAATAAATTAAATTGCGCCTTTTGAATGATATGTACTTAGCTAAGCCATCATGTTGACGGATTATACATGTAACTTAAAATTTAACAAAAATTAGTCAAAGTGAGGGCAAAAGAAAATAAAAATTAGTGAAAGTAAGAATTGAATTCATATATGCATTATTAAAAACAATTCATACATGTTGTAAGAGCCACGTGAGGAAAGGCATTAGAGATAAGAAATAACTAAAGGATATTTTGGAAAAAAAAAGATTATATTTATTGTTATTATCTAATTTAACTAATTTTTTTTAGAGGGGTTTGGCAACAAGTAGAAGTGTTTTTAAAAAGCATTTTTTCATAAAATAAGACATACTCTTTCACATATTTATTTCGTATACCGTAAAAGTACTTTTAAAACTATGGTTTAATTTCTACACAAACACTCCCTTAATCTAATCAAAATATTATCTCTAATCCTTAATATAAGAACTAATTGATTAATTTAAGCAGATCAAGAAAGTTATTAATTTGGTTATTCGTAATAAATAAGTATTTTTTTAATATCCTTACTAATTTTATGTTTGAACTAAAACTACTATTTGATAGAATATTTCAACATGTACAACCATTGTAATAATAATTACTTTAAAAAAAATAAGTAAATATAAAAAATAAATTAAATTAAAATTTTATATTTAAGTGTTAAACAAGAGGGAAAAGTTAAATGAATTGGGGCGGTAATTTAGAGATAAGAATTGACTAGAGTTTTTTTATAATAATTATGGTTGAGTTATAAAACCATGGTTAACTCTTAATCGAGCCTATAAAGGGATTAGTCTGTATACCTCCGGGGGCCCAAAACAGAGCACTGCACATCTCATGTACCTCTGTTTTCTGTGAAATTGTTTGCGTGCTTATCCAAGAAGAGAGATCTTTGTCCGATTATTCCAGTCTCTAGCTGCTATTTTCTGAGTTTCTGAGAGAGAGAGAGAGGTTACACCCTACTGTCCAAAAGAAAGACAACAACAAGAACAATAATTTCTAGAATGGAAGAAAAAAGAGCACAAGAAAGTAAGGAAGAAACTTCTAGGGCACAAGAAGAGAAAACGGATAAAATTGAAGAAAACCAGAGAAGATTAGAAGAAAAAATAAATAAAACAGAAAACTCTTTTTTAAAAAAAAGAAGCAAGCAATCAAAACAGCTGCTTGCTGTGTTTTGTATATCAGAAGAAACAAGTCAGGATATCAGATCTTAATGAGGAGATTCTCAACCCTCTCATTGGAGGAGGGGATTGTCAGTCCTCCAATACAGAAGAGGGAAAAACTCCCGTAAAGGAGTGTTCTCAACCTCCAATTAAAACCAATAAAGTCTCTAGAGGAGAATCCTCTCAGAGCAAGAACATATCCGAGATTAAAGACTTGACAACTCAGTTGTTAAGCGAGAATTTTGTGCAAGAAAGTAGTTGAGGTTAGCCCTAGCTTCTCAGACAGGGTCCAACTTCCACCACATCCAGAGAACTTTTCCCCACTGGAGAAGTTCAGTCATAAAAAACAAGAATTCCTCAATAATCCGAGAGTCATCATCCTTCGAGGCAAGGTCAGTCCATCCGTTATTCGAACACTATGGTTACGGATTTCTTGGTCTGATGTACTATCAAGAGGATGAGGATGTCAAGTTATTATCCGAGGAAATAAAGAAGGCTGTGTGAATCCTGACAAAGCAAGTTTCTTGGACGTGTGGCTTGGGATTTTGGCGAAGTCATTCTTGAGTCAGATTCTGAGGCACTCGTTGATATGCTGCTCAAAAAGGAAGCTTCACTTAACAGCAGTCTGATTTCCTTGCAGATTTCACACTTCATGGAGTTCAGTTGGGAGCTTCTTATTAGTTATATTCCAAGACAAGAAAAAAATACTCTTACTGAGAAAGGACTTCTCTCTTGTGCTATTTTTCAAATGCTTATCCGTGTCATTAACGGAATTTGCTGCATTCTGGTTGTATGAGAATGTATGGGAATTGATCCCCAGCTATCTTGGGCGTAATGCAATTGGGCTAAGCCCATCTTTCTTGCCCCGAAAAAAGGTTCTTTAATCACGAATTCACTATTCTTTTTGATGGGCACGAGATGATTCTAGTTAGAATATTATCATTTAACGTATCTATTTTAATGGGGATTTAAACTTTTTTTTCCTTCTTATATCTGACTGCTGTTAGTAAATATAAATAATTTTTTTTTTTTGGGTGAAATTGCCAAATTTGTAATGGGGATTACCTCCGTTAAAGAATACCCATGTGTAACCAAAATGATTTTGAGGAATGACTGTTGTAATACACACACAATATAAACTATAACAAATTGCACCCTTTGTTCATAAATCATAATTATGAATAATATGGCTAATTTTTCATAGTAATCCACATTAATTTGTGCATATTTGGAAATGTTATAGATTTTAATATGATATCGAGCTATGTATGTTTTTAGATTTGCATTAAGCTATGTATGTTTTTACTCAAGGCGCTATTGGATCATGCAGGTTATTCTTGAAACCTCCAGATTGGCCAGCATTGTGAACGGGGTACTGAGAAAGACTAATACAGATGTAGAACTGAATGGTATATTTGTATTGTCTAGATCTTCGTTTAAGACATTCACCAAAATTTTATACTCCTCCGGTCCTAATTATAAGACCCAATTGACTTATTTGATGAGATTAAGGAAGTAAGTTAAGTTGGTTATTTATAATAAATAAGTGTTGTTATTCCTAAAATATCCTTACTAATTAAGTATATTGGCTAAAACTATCATTATTAAAAGGATTATCTTGGAAAAAATGCATAAATATAAAAGAGAAAATGGATTGGGTTTTATAATTAGGACCAAATAAAAAGTCAAATTGGGTCTTATAATAAGGACCGGAGGAGTATTTACAATATAGAATCGGGTCTTTATTTACCATTTTTTAAATTAAAGGTCCAAATTGTAATTTCACATATTAGGAAGTCTTTATTTATCAGTTCACCTAACAAATTCCCAAATCAAAGTTTCTTTTTTTTTTTAAACAAAAAAAAAATCTGTTTTAATTAAAACTACTATTTTTTTTAATATCCTTACTAATTTTATGTTTTAACTAAAACTACTATTTGATAGAATATTTTAACATGTACAACCATTATAATAATAATTACTTTAAAAAAAAAGTAAATATAAAAAATAAACTAAATTAAAATTTTATATTCAAATGTTAGGAATAGTTAAATGAATTGGGGCGGTAATTAGAGATAAGAA